ACACATATATATATATATATATATATATATATATATATATATATATCCTGCTAATGCACTTTTAATGAACTTTAGTTCACTATTAAATCTCTGATGAACCAGATTCTAAAAACATCTATATTTAAAATTTTATAGGTTTTCTTCATCATTTGATGTATTTACTCTCATTGTGTCTACTTTTATTGTTCAGTTAGATGTGTGGTTTTGTTTATTGTTTAGATTTTTTTAGATTTTTAGCTTTGCTTTAAAGTTTAATTCTTGTTTTGTGATTTGTACATCTGTGGGTTAGAATAACGTTGAACTAAAGGTTTTATCTCTTCTTTAATCATATTTGAGGGAAATATTTTTTGACAGATCCAATAATTTCGTGTCTTTATGATTTTTCAGCTGATTTAACTTTAACACATTATTTAAGTCATTAAAGTGAAACCAGGATGTCATAATAAAGCCAGTACTGTTTATTTTTTTAATCTTCACTGATAAAAAAAAAATATTAATTAATTAATTAACACATAAATTGTTTTTAAAAATAATTTTCCCCTCCGTGCACCAGACCCGTCCCTGTCCGCCCGTCTGCCAGGATCAGGGTTCGGCCTTCATAAGCAGGTGAGGCCAGGGTCCAGGCAATGGCCTTCTGCGAGTCAGCAGCTCGTATGATCCTCCGTGGTGACCAGCAGAGCTTGAAGTGCACAGAGCACGCAAGGCCGGCCCAGAGCCCAAGCCCAGAGTCGGCAGCACGGATGTTCTTCTGCAATGATTAGCAGAGCTTGGAGCCGGGAAGATGACGCCCTGTACGGCCTGAGCCGGCTCCGAGGCTCAGGTGGAAGGGACCGGTGGAGCTCAATCTAGCTCCCTCTGAATTTTGTCGTCAGTCACCAAGCACAAAAAAATGTCTGCACTTCAGCATTAGACCACGGTGTTGTCATTATTGTTTTTAAAATCTTTAATAAAGGTCCAGCCACTGCTCTGAGTTTTGAGAAATTGCAAATGGCGGATCGGTGTTTTGAAAAAGTTTCTGAAAGAACCAGTGACTCCACCCCCTGACCAATCAGTGACCAACAGTGTTCTGATGTCACGTTTTAATACCTGCTCAGCCCGCTTGGAACCGCAGAGAAAACGGTTCTGAAAAAAGGGACCTGTTCTACGTACCATTACTAATGGAAAAAGGGGTAAATGACTCAAGGAAACCAGGTGACTTTCTAAAATTGCAACTATTTGAACTTCAGACAGAGTCCTAGAGAACACAATGAAAAAGACTGAAACCCCACCACCAGATACCTCCTCATTACTGCACCACATTCTAACCCAGAGAGTCACAAAGCTCAAACTCTGGTAACACTAGTTCACCAATTACCACCATCAGGCCACAGCACTACAAGGACTTTTTAACCAAATGACAAAAAAAGGAACAAAACTGAAAGGACAATGTGAGAGACAGATGAGTTTAGTAATAAAATGACAGGGAGTTTACAAGAGCATTTGAAACTAAAATGTTGAAAGATTTTCAGAATTTATCAGGATTGGCAGCTTTTATTAACACCACCAAAAAAAAAAAGAAAAAGAGATATCAAAAGATGTATGCAAAGCCTTGTATGTGGAAAACAAACCAAGAAAAAAAGGTAGGAACTTACTTTTTTAGACCAGCAATGAAATACATGCTCTTTGGCAATAACAGGTAGACCTGGTCTGTGAGGACAGCATGAATAATCTTCTTGGCTACAATTTCTGCATTCAGGATAGGCAGGACTCTCGGCCACCTGTGGAAGAAAAAACAAACAAAAAAGTCTTAGCATCAAAACTGCTAGAGTTGATGACCACACAAACACCATTGGCACAGAGTAACAAGAGATCAATACAGCAGTCTGTCGCTACTTCGCGGTTCGTTTATCGCAGACTCGCTCTATGGCAGTTTTTCAAAATAAGACTGGACATGAGACACAATTGGCTGATTGATGGATGAGCTGCATGAGTGCATGGACTTTGTATATAAAATAAATAACAAATTATTTAGCACTTGTGTACATCACATTCTCCTGCAGCTGATCTCCACTCAGAGCGGAGAATTGGGTGCAGCTGGAGGCAGAAATAATGACACGCTGTGTTCTTTTAGA